TTCATAAAATTAAAAAGCTTCTGCACAACAAAAGAAATGGTCTCTAAACTAAAGAGACCACCCACAGAGTGGGAGAAAATATTTGCTAGCTATACACAGAAATTTTTGAGCTGAAGTAGACTTTCAAAATTATTTAGATCACTTAATGTGAAGATGCACTTCAGATTGAATGTGTGAGGTTTCTATTCATTGTTCTATTCTTTGATCTCTTTTAACTTGACTGAGCTTAGTGCAGTCATTCTTGATGTAGTATAGAAGTATCTCCAGATTGTATTTTCAAAGTTCGGTTATTTGGAAGGTAATTCAGTCTGGACAGAGCATAGGTAGGATGTGTGAGTGGATACAAACTAAATTTAATAAAATTACAGAAATGATCATGAAGTTATTATTTATAACAATTTTTACCTTTTTTTTTTTTTTTTTTAAGTTACAGACCCCAGCTTCTTTTGCACAGAGTGTTCAGGAACTAACAATTGCTCTGCAGCGGACTGGAGATCCAGCAAACTTGAACCGACTAAGACCCCATTTGGAGCTATTAGCAAACATTGACCCTAGTCCAGGTAAACCCAAGGGAAATTAATGGACTGTCTTATGTGTCCCCTAAGTGTTGCTCAGTGATTAATTAGTTTTGCTATATTGCTGTAGAATTTCCCAGAGTAGTTTTTCCAGATCTTTTATATAGTATTTTCCTACAAATCTTATCCCTCTTTAGCTCATTAACATTTATTAATATTTATTTAATACTTTTATATATTTTGCTGTTGACCTCACTAGGAAAATAGATATCTCTGAGCTCCTTTATATTTTCCCTTTCTCCTATCACAAAATTGTGCTTTATTTTACCTTTCTCACCTCTCTGTCAGAACACAAGTTTTTCTCATTTTTTTCTGTATTTCCTTACTTCCATTTCCTTGATTCCATTTTTGCATTCTTCATATCTTATTTCAATAAGTATCCTCTTGCACGTAAGCACTGAGGTACATCCCCAGTTCTAATGACACTGTCTTGAACTCACTCCAGTCAGTCATTTATCCTCTACCAGTCTATCCAGATTTATTTTGTTGAGGTTACAAGTGCCTTCCTTATAGCCAATTCCATAGGTTCTCAGGGCTCCTTGTATTTGACCTGTCAGTAGCATTTGGCAGCATTGCCGTTTTACTCTGTCTTCTTTAAAATGATTTTTCTTTGCTTGCAGCTACCACATTCTCCTAATTCCCTTATTTTATTAGATACCCCTCAGTGCCCTTTTGTTACTTCACATCTCCATAGTCTTTGGAGCATTTCAGACTTTATTCCTTACACTTCTTTTCTTTTATATTGATACCCATTCCCAATATAATCTCATGTGTCCAAAGCCCAGTTCACATGTCATCATCTAGAAGTCTTTCCTGGTGATTATTTCATATTTAGCATTGTGGTTAATTTTTCCATACTAAAATTACATCACAATGTTGGCAAACACTAAATGAAGTAGATTTACAGCAGAGTGGCTTTATATAGCTACTCTATTAAACTTTATTAAATTTTCTGTTTACTGGTATCTAGTTTATATGAAACATCAAAATAAATGTACAATTTTGCTGACTGTAGATAGGCCACAGTTAAGTTTTGTGTGGTCCACACAGTGTTGGGCTGTGTAACACTGTTTAAATTTGTTAGGTGCCAACACTTGAAAACTTAAATTTTGGTAGGAAGTATAGCTCTTTGGTAAACTTCTTGCTTAGTATGTGCAAATGGGTTTAATCCTGAGCATCATAAAAACAACAACAAATGAAACAAGTGATTAATTTTACTTAAGAATCTCAGATTTCATGTGTCCCCAAGAAACAGTGTTGTATCTAGTGGGCCAGCCTTTCATCTTCACATAATGACATCCAACTAAAGCTGAGTGATAACCACACCCTTTGGTAAGAGAAGCTCTTCAGTTCAACATAGTCCATGTCACTCTGTTCTCTCTTCAGTACTCATGGTCTAATGACAGTTACCATTATTGTCTGACTGACTTAATTACTTTATTACTTTCCTTTTCTCTGTGGTTTAGTTTGCAACCCCAGCTTTTAAAGAATATGTCTGTTCCTTTAAAATGATGGTTAGTTGAATATGTTATTGTTTGAAAAGCAGTATAATACTTAACTTGATTATACTGAAGTGCTGGCACTAAGTCCTTTACTAGTTTAATATTGGGCAAGATAATAACATTAAAATACTTCAAAAAATTATTATACAGATGCTCCTCCTCCTACTTGGGAACAGCTGGAAAATGGACTGGTTGCTGTGCGTACAGTGGTACATGGGCTGGTGGATTATATCCAGAACCACAGCAAAAAAGGAGCAGATCAACAGCAGGTAAGGGGGAACAGTTTGAAATTTATAGGTAAGCCACTATGGGTATACCTACAGGTGAAAAGCCAAAGAAATTGACAAGGTATTTTGAGACTCTGACTATTGAAACTAAATTATCATGGATAGCAGCCAATGTACTGGTTTTGCCTAGTAATTTTCTCTGACATTAAAATAATCATGCTGGGTGCTGGTGGCTCACGGCTGTCATCCTAGTTGCTCAGGAGTAGAGACTAGGAGGATCAAGGTTTGAAGCCAGCCCAGGCAAATAGTTCTCTAGACCCTGTTTTGAAAAAACCTATCACAAAAAAGGGCTGGAGGAGTGACTCAAGGTATAGGTCCTGATTTCAAACCCCAGTACAGCAATAAATAAATAAATAATCATTATTGAGCTTAAGTTGTTGTACTGCAGTCTCTTTCCACACTGGATGTAGCAGCATTTGATGGAGAAATTGGATTCTGTGATAAAGTTTATTCCATTTTTAAAAGATTATTCTCTTACTTTATTATATTTCAATTTGACAATAGATGTTATTTCTTAATACTGAGGCTGTATTTCCAACATTGCTTAAATTTGTATAGATTTTTTTTCTTTTTTGGGTGGGGGGTAACCTAAAGGCCTGAACTTGAGCCATACCCCAGCCCAGTTTTTTTTTCGTGTGTGTGTGTGTGTGTGTATGTGTGACTAAAGATTGAACTCAGAGCCTTATGCTTGCTATGTAAGGACTCTTATCACTTTAGTCATGCTCCCAGTCCTTCTGTATTAGTATTTTAAGGTTTTTCGTTCATAATGTGTATCAAATCTTCTCTTTTTTTGGGGGGCGGGGTGGGGAGGTAAGGGTGTACTAGAGTTAAACTCAGGGCCTCCTGCTTGCTAGGCAGGAGTTCTACAAATTGAGCCATCTCTGCAATCCTTTTACCTTTATTTTTCTGATAGAATCTACCATCTTCTGCCCAAGCTGGCTTTAGACTGAGATCCTTTTACCTACACCTCCCACAAAGCTGGGATTATAGACATGTACCACCACACCTGGCCCTCTTTCTCAGTTTTTAAAAATGAAATATTTGGGGCTGGCAGAGTGGCTCAAGTGATAGAGCCTAGTATGAGGCCCTGAGTTCAAAGCACAGTACTGCACCCTAAAAAATAAGTAAATAAAAAGAAAAATGAAATCTGTGACAGTGGGCTGGAAGCTGGCAGAGTGACTCAAGTGGTAGAATGCCTGCCTAGCAAGGGTGAGGCCCTGAGTTCACAACCCCAGTTAAAAATAAAAATTATATGTTTGGGCTAGAACTTTAAATTTTATCTTCAGGATTTAGATTTTAGATTCATTCGAGCTTTCACTTTGCAGTGTAAGCCTGTGAACTTAGAACTCTGTTACTAATTTACCTAGCTTAGGTAAATATTAATAATCGATCACCTGGTAAGGCAGGAAATATTTTTAAAAATCCTACTAAAAAGTAGATTAATCTGGATATGATTTTTCCTAATTAGTCTAAACATAGAACAGGACTTTATTTTATGATTAAGAAATAAAGGGGAGGACTAGTGGAGAGACTCAAGTGGTAGAGTGCCTGCTTAGCCATCACAAGGCACTCACTGGGTTCAAACCCCCAATAACCGCAAAAATAAAGGAAGGAAAAACCTAAAATTTTTAACTTTGTGTTCTAGTCAACATCGTAAAGAGTATCACAAAAATAATGAGACAAACCTTCAAGGGTTTGCTATAAAGTCATAAAATATACTAAATTTGTTCAGTTTGGTGTTGTGTTTGGCATCTCACTAACTTCCATCTGTCCTCCTACCTTATACTTGAGTTGTGGATAATAAATTTAATTTGTACCTTCACAAATTTTTAGGCCCTTTTCATGTCAAGAATTGATTATAGGGTATTCTTTACTTATAGGACCTTTTGTAGGCTTTTGTAGTGTTTTATAGGAAATAATTATATGTGTAACTAACACTGAACACTGCACAACTCAGATACTAGAAGAGTTTATACATTTGCAAGTCTTAAATTCCAGTGTTTTGTTCTGTTATAAAACTTGTAAAGGAGGTCTAAGAGCCTCCTTGAGATTTACTCAGTAATTTATATGGTTTAAGACATGTTTGAGAATAAATATTAATGTGTCAAAAAATCATAGTGTCTTTTTTCAGGACTACTTTTAAATTTATTTTTGAATTTTCTGAGACATCAAACAGAATGACCTTTCAGAACTTTTGCTCTGGATAGTTTAAATAAACATGGGATTTAGTCTAAGTTCTTTATCTAGATTATCAAGATACTAAACTGGCATAAAATTTGTTTTTTTGTTTAGATGGGTTTTGTTTTATGCCTAATGTTTTGATTTTGGTATTAGCCTCCACAGCATAGCAAATATAAAACATACATGTGTCGAGATATGAAGCAGAGGGGAGGATGCCCTCGTGGGGCCAGCTGTACATTTGCACACTCACAAGAGGAACTGGAAAAGTAAGTATGGAAATCATGAGACTCAACCTTTGAGATAAGCAATAAATAGACTAATTTGTTGACTTTGATAAATGCAAAAAAAGTACTGTATTCTCTTTAATGAATAGGAAATTTTTAGAGTTAATAAAATTTTGAAAATTTTCTTCATTGTTTCATTACATTGTTCCATTGAATAGGAAACTATTGTTAACAAACTCTCAAAATGAGTTATTTTCATTAAAAAAAAATAGAATTCTAGTAATTTTCACTGATTTTTAGTAATTGCTATATATAAATGCCCTAGTAGTTGTAAATAGGCTTGTTTTCATTGTTGAGTAGCAAGTCCAGTGGCTTAATTTTTCTTCTTTTTTCAGATTTAAAATCTGTGTACGTTCTTTTACCACAGCATTTGTTTAATTTAGGTCATTCTGTATTGTTTCCATTAACTAACTTTTAGAATAATTTCAATTTTATATAGTGACATGCTAGCATCTCTGAAGTAATTCTTTTTTTTTTTTTCATTTTTCTTTTATTATTCATATGTGCATACAAGGCTTGGGTCATTTCTCCCCCCTGCCCCCACCCCCTCCCGAAGTAATTCTTAAGTGGTTTTTTTCCTTTAGTATAGTAAATGGTAAACTTTTCACAATGCACATTGGCTTCATTTTTTTTTTTTTTCCTTTTTGGTGCTGGATATTGAACTTGGTTTATTCTTTTTGATTTTTTGAGATGCTGTGTAGCTGGGACTGGACTTGAACTTGCATTCCTCTTGTACCAGCTGTCTGAGTGCTGGCATACATACCATACCCAGATTATTCTTAATATTTAACATAAGTTCACTGTATCCCAGGAATACATTTGAAGAAAAGTAAAGGTTAAATATTTCAAACTGTCTTTTGACAGTTTTTCTAACCTTCCTTCTAAACCTTTTGACTGTTTTAGAAATAGGAATTTCAGTATATGTTATAGTAAAATATTAATAACATGATTTATAATGTTATAATTTATATATTAGCAAATGCTTATTGCAAGGAATTTTGCACAGAATCATTATTTCCTGCTGCTTGAGAATTTATAGAAAACATACACGTAGTTTGCAAGTTGATAGAGCAGAGAGAATTTCTAGGAAATAATATTTTCTAGTTCATTTTAGTTCTTGGTTTTGCTTTTGTATTTGATTTTTGTTATGTGCTTTTTTGCTTTTTAAATAGATTTCGTAAAATGAACAAACGTTTGCTTCCCAGAAGACCCCTGAGTGCCTCTTTGAATCAACTGAATGAGGTGGGCCTGCCTTCAGCAGCTCTCCTTCCAGATGAAAGTGCGGTTGATCTGCCTAGCAGGAAACCCCCTGCTCTACCAAATGGAATTGTATCAGCAGGGAATACAGTAACACAGCTGATTCCACGTGGGACGGACCCCAGCTATGATTCTAGTCTGAAGCCAGGAAAGATAGATCATCTGAGCAGTAGTGCTCCTGGATCCCCTCCTGACTTGTACGTCATTTTTCCTAAGAATTAGTTTCTTCCTTATAAACATAAAGTAGAAGGGAGAAGAAATAATTAATACTTACTTTTAAGGGAACAAAAGTTGATTTTTTTTTTTTTTGTTCAAAATAAAGAGGCCTTTATTTTGTTGCTTCTTACTTTTATTCCCTGTACTTGTGTTTTGCATGGGTGAAAAGGTCGAAATTTGCTTTTTTTTTGGTTGTACTGGGGTTTGAAGTCAGGGCCTCATGCTTGCCAGGCAGGTGCTCTAACACTGGAGCCACTCTGGTAGCCCTTTTTTGCATTGGACAGTTTCAAGATAGGGTCTCGAGAATTATTTTCTTGGGATGGCCTCAAACCCCGATCCTTCTGATCTCAGCCTCCCGAGTAGCTAGGATTATAGGTATGAGCCACCAGAGCCCAGCTAAAATTTGAAATTTTGTAGAGAGGATTGGCATTAGAATAAACAGGTTTCCCAAATAGTGCTAATCTTTTATATGAAATAGTTTATGTGCATTAAAAGTATTTTACCTTGCATAATCTTACTTCTTTAGGCTGGAATCTGTCCCTAAGAATATTTCTGCCTTACCTGTGAATCCACATCCTGTACCTCCAAGGGGTCCAGCAGATCTGCCTCCCATGCCTATCACCAAACCTCTTCAGATGGTACCGCGAGGTTCTCAGTTATATCCAGCACAGCAAGCAGATGTTTATTATCAGGATCCTCGTGGAGCTGCCCCACCATTTGAACCAGCACCTTATCAGCAGGGTAATGATCTTTCATTTATGTCACTCACTTTTCTTAGGAAGTATGAGAACTATCCAGGTAAGAGTAATCACTTACATAGTAGCTTCCTTTAAATAAACAATTGAATTTTAAATACTTGGGGAAAAATGAGATTATGGTCAACTAAATAAGCTGTTTTGCCTAGTAAGTACAGTTGTGTAATAAATGTAATCATATATTTACATAAATACAAGTCACCCAGATAGAACATGGAAATTTGCTGAGTATAAAGCAGAATATATTCTGACCAGAATTTTCTTTAAGAATGATTAAAAAAAAAATGCAGTGGATATAAATTAAATGCAGAGTACATTTTTCTTCTTTTTAATTATCAATATTTTTGTGGAGCCTTTAATATATATAAAAAAAGGTATACATGCCTTTAGAGAATTTACAGTAGACAAAGAATACAAAACTGTTAGCAGGGCATGGTTGTAATGCCTGTAATCCTTAGCACTTATGAAACATAGACAGGAGAATTTTGAGTTTGAGGCCAGCCTGGCCTGCATAGCAAAATCCTGTCTAAAGAAAACAATGCACAAAACAAAGAAGAAGAAAACAAACTATATGGGTAGTGTATGCATGTGTATGTTAAAGATTGAGTGGTCAGTTGTGGTGGCTGATATTACCTTAAGAAATTGATAGTAAGACTCAAGACTATTGAGAACTTGAGGCATCAAAAAAGATTTAATGGAGTCAGATGTAGTGGGGCACATCTGTAATCCCAGCACTTGGGAGACCAAGGCAGAAGGATTACAGGTTCAAGGCCAGCCTGGGCTACATCATGAGACCCTGTACCAACAACAAAACAATTTCATAGAAAAAATGTTCCAACTAGAGGAATTGTGAATAGAAAGAAAGATTCATGAATGGATTGGAAAGATAAGAGTCTAGAGTCAAGGAAGAGGTAGAAAAACATTAGCCCAGAGGTCGGTATTTAGGTTTGAATTAATATTGTGGGAAAGGAGAAGGGATTTGGAAAATACACAAATTTGTAAAAATTATCCAGATTTAATTATCAAGGTATGGAGTGAAGAGAGGGGAGATGGTTAAGCTTCCACATGTATGTTTCATTTGTAAAGTAAACACTGATTTTACCTCTGTCAGAGGCAGTATAATGCTATTGTTTTTCATGTGGTAACACATTAAAGGCATCTTCCCTTTCTTTTCTCTGTTAACTTTGAATCAGATATGTCATCTTCTCTACATTTTTACATGGCGTTACTAATGTATATAAAACATAGTAAAACTTGGTTTTTCCCTTTATTTTGACCATCCATTACAGGAAAACTACAGCTATTGTTGAGGTGGCTAACATGTAATACACCATATTAGTAAGGGTTCAATTCCATATAACAGAAATCATTCTAGCTATATTAGGTAAAACAAGGTTTAGTTCAGGAATTGGGTACATACCCAATGTAAGTGGAAGTACTAGAGGCACAGGCTTAAACTAAATTTTCAGGAATGAGTCTAAGAACAATACTGCATAACTAGTTGAGGAAAAGAGCCTGTTAACAGTGAAGAGACAAAAGTAGAAAACTTCTGTCCTAACTACTGCTTCTAGGTAAAAGTCTAGAAATTGAGAAGCCACTATCACAACTCTTGTCTCAAGAACTCTAGAGCCAAATAGTAGCACCAGCAAAAATGGACCTTTTGTTCATCACATCTCTTACCAGTTAATTCTGTTTCACATTCAGGCTGCAGTAGAGCCTGAACTTCAAGGATGTATGTAAAATGTAATTTTTGCTTTTCATTGCATTAAGACACCAGAAACAGGGTCAAATAATGAGAGGCAATCTATTATTGCACACTATAAGTAGATTGGTTTTTCTCAATGATTTGTAAGGTTTTTTGTTTTGTGGGGGTGGGGAGGGACTAGGGATTGAGCCAGGGGCCTTGCCGTGCTAGGCAAGCACTCTACCATTGAGCTACATCCTTGGCCTTAATGATAATTCTTGTATGTTATTTCTCATAAAGCTAACCTAGCTATATATGCAGGGAAATGTTCTAAAGACATATGTAGGTTATTACTACTTCATTGTGTTAATATTTTAAAAGAGAAAAAACCCAAATCTTATATAGAAAAATAGATTGGCTCATTATTGCTTTTGGTTCCTCTTTGTTTATCATATAGGTGTGTACTATACTCCACCACCACAATGTGTGTCCCGTTTTGTCCGACCTCCACCATCTGCTCCTGAACCTGGTCCTCCCTACTTGGATCATTATCCACCCTACCTCCAAGATCGTGTTGTAAACTCCCAGTATGGCACGCAGCCACAACAGTACCCACCTATGTATCCACCTCACTACGATGGCCGTCGAGTATACCCTGCTCAGTCTTACACGAGAGAGGAGATTTTCCGTGAAAGCCCTATACCCATCGACATTCCACCTGCAGCAGTGCCATCCTATGTACCAGATTCCAGAGAAAGATACCAACAGGTGGAGGGTTACTATCCAGTGGCTCCTCATCCAACTCAGATCAGACCTTCATACCCTAGAGTATGCTGCATTTTTTCCCCCTTATTTTATAGACTTAAATACCTACAGTGATTCATTCCTTTTTTTGCAATGGTAATAACTCAATTCCTTTTTAATGAAAGTTTCTTTACTTTTAAAAATCTTTTTCATAATTTGAGTAGGTTACTATTTTATTAATAGTTCTGGCTAAGAAAAAGTAAACCTAAATTTTGCTATTAGGGAGTTCTTGAGACTTCTGATGGGCTTTCTTTGTTTTGTTTTTCTTTATTCTTTTACATCATATTTCCAAATGTTAGGATGAGTGTACAAGCTACCTCTATTCTTTGTCAGTTTTAATTAATTTTTCCATTTTCAGGAGCCTCCTTATAGTCGGCTTCCTCCTCCTTCCCAGCCCCATCCAAGTCTGGATGAACTACATCGCAGACGAAAGGAAATAATGGCCCAATTAGAGGAAAGAAAGGTTATCTCTCCACCTCCTTTTGCACCATCACCAACATTGCCTCCTACATTCCATCAAGAAGAAGTAAGCAGATCATTTTTTACTCCTGTTTTTCTTTTATCAGTTTGTGTCTTGCATAAATAACCTTTACCTGTTCCCAGTATTTAGATATTTTCCTGTTTTCTTCCAAAGGTTTATTACTGTTTTATTTCACATTTAGGTCTAAAGTCCATCTAGAATTGATTTTTATATAGAGTGCATTCAGAGTCAAGATCAGTTTTACATAAGAATATCTCATTGACTGTGCACCATTTAATGATATGAGAATCCTTTCGTCAGTGCCCTGTGGTTACCTTTGTCATAATTATATAACCAGGATGTGTGTAGTAGTACACTGCTATAATTCCAGCACTTGGGAGACTGAGGTAGAAGGATCACAAGTTCAAGGCCAGTCTGAGCTACAAAGACCCTGACTCAAAAAATAATTAGATGACCATGTATATTTCTGAACTCTTCTGTTCCATGGATCTATTTCTGTCCTTGTGCCAATGCCACATTCTCTTAATATAGTTTTATTTTAAGTTTAGATACATGTTGGTGTGTATTTTCCAGTACTCTTCAAGAATCAGCTGTTTGGGGCTGAAGGTATAGCTCATTGTTTGATCTTTTGCCAGGCATGAACAAGGCCCTAGGTTAGATTCCCAAAACTTTAAATAAAGAGAGTCAGGTGCTGGTGGCTTGGGTCCATAATTCTAGCTACTCAGGAGATAGAAATCAGGAGGGTCATGGTTCTAAGCCAGCCCTGGGCAAATTGCAAGACTCTATCTCAAAAAAA